GCTTACAAGATATCCAAGAAAGAAGATAAAGAAACTGCACTAACAGTATGGTTCTGAATCCTGTGTTAGACATAATAGATTGTTTTCTCCAAAATTTTATCCATCAGTGGCCCATCAATCCTTCTGTATAATTCTGCCTCTTGTTTCTGTTTGCTTGCCTGTGGTTTACTTACTGGCCTAAAATATTTCATCAGTTTGTGATCGTCATCTTTTTCTTCCTTCTATTTCTTAACTGTCTGCAGTGTTTAGAAGTGAAGGAAAAGCAGTATGACAAATCTTGATTTCTTCACTGTCAGTTTTGAATGCCGATGCATGTGTTAAGAAAAGCTAGTAAAATGTGGCTTCGTTATTCATGTATTTCTACTGAAATTTGTTTCAGGATACCACAGCTACAACTCCAGCTGTTTCCGGAGTAGTGGTGCAAGTGCTTTTTTGTCATTGATCTTTTTTTTTTCTTAAATTATTATTGAAGATAACTAGATCTAGATTTACACCAAAATTTTCAGCTACATAGGATCTCCGGACAAGAAAATTAATAAGAACTATTTGAGGCCTGCTCCTCTTGAAGAGATTGCCAAGTATGTTATTTCTATCTATGCATTTAATTTTGAGTGTATTTCTTCAATCTCTTTATGGTTTCTTTTTTCTGGATGAATGAATGAGATTTTATTAATGAGCAAGAAGTTCTGCTGCAAAGAATCAAAGTTTAAACCAGCAAACCAACAAAGGGACAGGGTAAAAACAAACAAATTAATCAAACTTTTTTTTTCATCAAGATCCCAATTTTGACAAAGAAACCTAGTAATAGAATTATCAATAAAATGTTGAATATCTTAGAGCCTGCACCAACAGCATCCTTGACAAACTGCCAAATATTAGCACTACTGCTACTCTAGTTTCCAAGTACCCTTTTGTTTCTTTCCATCCAGACGTCAAGGTGAAAGCATTCCAAGCAAGTTTAAGGATAACAGCCAAAAGAGTTTTACCTTTCAAGCTAGTTTTGGTCCAAAAATATTCAGGATGCCAAGTGTCCACCTGCCATTTAATCCCATAGAGTTTCAACACTTGTAACCAAACTCGTTTGATCAACAAATAAGTGAAGAAAAAGTGATCCTTGGATTCAACCAACTTTTTTTTTTAATGAACCCGGATTCAACTACCTGATTAGAAAACAAGAAGTTAGAATGGATGCACCAACTACAAAGTCTTTGTTTAGTAGGCAGTTTGTCAAGAATGGCCATCCATGAAACAAGAGTGTCTAGGGATATGATATTTAAACCAAATGATCCTATGCCAATCAACTTTCTCCTTGCATTCCAGGCACTAGAAGTGTATTATTTATTAGAAAAATTCAATCATACCATCCTCCTATTTCAATGCTGAATGAAAGTTAGAGCAACACTTTGTAGCCTCGGTAGCTTCTTCCAACTCCAACTGCTATGTTGTGAGGAGAAACGTGCCAGATGCTGCTGCCCTTTAACACATATGTTCTCACACAGGCTACCCTTAAGGATCCAGATTGAGAGAGTAGAGCCCATAAATTCCTTAAAATGCAGGGCTGATTCCAGGATTTTAAATCCTTAACCCAAGTTCGCCCTCTGACTTTGGGCGGCGAACGAACCGCCAATTTACTTGGGTGCCTTGAGCCTTTGCCACCTTGTCTTTCCAAAAGAAAACAGTACAGAGCTGGACCACTTTCGTGATGACCTTTCTGAGGATGGATAAAATTCCTAGCCGGAAGTTCTGCACACTAAAAATCACTGATTTGACTATGTAATGGTTTCACGTAATGCTGTTGAGTCCTTATTTGGTGTTTGTTGATGTGCTGATTTCAGTACTTCAACTGTTGAACCGTCTCCCAATCCTTCCCTTTTTTCAACAGAAAGGACATAGCTGAACTCTGAAAGCTGTTTTAGAGCATGTCAACACATACTAAAAACTGAGGTACAATACCCTATAGGCTCATAGTTAGGTTGTTTATGAAGTGTCAAATAAATTTAAAACTATTTATTTTTTTCTCTATTAACTAGAAATGGAACTGGCCAAAAAAAAACTAGAATGGCATTTTTTTTTATATTATCAAGTCCTAAAATCATTGCTGAAATTTGTGGCTAAATCTTCTTCTGAAGAGAAAAATCTTCCCCTCAGATCAACTACAGAAAAAAAAAAAAAAAAAGCCCAAAAACCAGTTTTGTGCTGTGGTTTATTATTGATAATCTGCTCAATCACGTTTGTTGCTCCACCTCTTACTGCGAATCTCTAGATATATTGGTGTCAATTCTGGCAATAATATCCAGTTCTGATTCGTTATTTCCTCCTTTTTTCCCTTCCTGTGCAAAGAAATTATTCATGCTGAAGGCCCCTCAGGACCAAACAGAGAGTACTTTTTCCAACTAAAAAGGGCTCTTCTCCAAATTGGTGAGGTTCTTTCCTTTCCAGTAGCCCCTAAATTGTTCTCTACCAGTTACTCCAATTATTTGTTTCAATTCTTAGCCCATAAAAATTTCGAATTGCTACACTTACCCTTTTTTTAATCTTGGTTTAGGATGTAAAGATAAACATGTGAGGAATCTCGCAAATGAAGTGAGGCGCGCATTCTTTCAGAAGCTGAGCAAACTGTGTCATGATGCAAAAATGGGGTAAAGGGAAAATAAATTTTAAATGAGGCAGCATTATAGATATGGACATCATCACCGCTACATAGAGTCGCCTGTTCCTACTTGTTTGTTCGGGATTGGGATGCAGAAACGTAGATTTCTCATAGTGAGGGATACAGTCATCCCAATTCTACAACAATAAATTCCTCTCCACAGACAAACAGTGTCCAGAAAAGGATGTTTCCGTATGCTTTTCCTTTCTTTCATTTGGATATTAAGCCTGATTGTTCTTGATGACAAAATCAAATGCTTTTCATTATTTAAAGCTATCTTATCACTTCGTTGGTGTCCCACTAATTATAATTGCGAGATTTGTTTGTGAAGCTTATAAAGTTATATATAAGCAAATCCTGCTGCATCCCACTATGATCAGCGGCTTCTCGCTTATGCGAATCGTTAGTGATGAGTCATCCCCAATAGCGGGAACTTGTCTTTACTTTAAAAGAAGAAAGAAAAAAACAACAACAATTTCATGTGCTTGTAACAGTGTTGAACAGCAAACTAACATCAGCATTTTGAAACTTCTCACTTTAACATTTTTCCCACGTTGAAAAAGTATATAGATATGATATAAGATATATGTAAAAATTTAAATTTATGAGATATTTTTTATAAAATAAAATTATAAAATTTTCGGATTAAAGTGAACAATAACTCACATGAGTGTTAATTTTTGCAAATAATATTAACGCGATCATCAGTCGATGAGAATTATGTTATATTATCGGAGTAATTAAGTGTTACAATGTAGGAAATCACTTTTAATATCCTAATGTCATATGTGATTTTGGTCTTACGATTAAATTTGACTTGATCAAGATGTTAAAACTTTAAAAGTGAAGAAATTATGACGTTTCGAATCTCACATTGAAAAAATATATAAATATAATATGATATATATATATATATCTAAATTTGTATAATATTTTTTATAAGATAAAATCGTAAGACTTTTAAATCCAAAACTTAGATATAGATCTCCAAACTCACTCCATTGATACGCTAATTTAATTATGATGATCTCTTGTTGGAATGTTCTATCATTACTACTATCATCGTGTTCTAACTTGTTGAAATTCTCCACCACTTTAAAGCAACTTGTCTATACTTCTTTTGTTTAGTTGCAAATGACAGGCCAAAAATAAATGGAGCATCCAACATTGAATAATCTTTTTCATTACAGGGAAAGAAAACCCATTATTAAGATTAAGTTGGAAATAGCAAATCGTATATGACCTCATCAAGATGTATGGCAGTTGTGTGATCCTGCTTTCGGAAAGGTGTCCTCTTCACATTCTTGGTCTACGCTTCGGGCATTGTTTTTTTTTTTTTTTCTGTTTTGGGTTGCAATTCCTTTTCCCATGGGGTTAAGAAATTTTTTCACTTGTTGATGATTTTTATTTTTATATTAAAAAAAGAAAACTGAATTACTCCTGTGAAAGATTGAAACAATCAGTAAATTTAAAGAAATATATGCAGTCAAAAGAAATTGACTGAATTTGTAAAATTTCAATAGATCATTTGTACGATCATAATTCAAATCCCATTATCTATAATTTTTCTTAATGAATAATCTATAAATTCAATACAAATTCTTTATGAAACTTAGGACCTGTCCTGATATTGAAATAGAGAAATATCTGCTCACGTACGGGAAAATATATATGGGGAATGAATTTCGGCAATGCATCAAACTGTTTTAGCTGACACCCTTTTCGCCCTTTTGTCTTTCTGTATTCTCCTTGTGCAGCTAATGGCACGAATTTTTGGATCACTACCCTATTCCTTATTCAACATAGAAAACAAACCAATCCTTGTCCAGGGCTAATTTTATTATTATTATTATTATATTTCGAAGGTATGCCGTCGGGCGCTATCAGCGATCTAGATTTTTTGCATAAAAAATTATTTTTTCTCTTCTTAAACAGTCCAAGCAGCAAGCCTTTCATCTTATCAATAACAAAATCAAGGTAATATGAGATTATCAATGAAACTCTGAACTTTTGATTGGGGTGTACGGGATACAAATTAAAAGAACTACTTGCTAATGTATAGTTCAAATTGTTTAATAAGTTTGAAGTTTAAATTTTAATAATTGGAATATTTTTATAAAAAAATCTACTGAGATTTCGTGTGTGAAGAAATAAGTATACGTTACAAATCTGGCAAAACTTGTCTCTAGACCATCTCAATTTCCGTTTGAGACGCCACAAACCATCTCAAGCTAAATGTTTTAAAGTAACAGAGCAGAAGACAGAAGAAAGAGATGAAAAAAAAATTGTCTGCTTTCCCTTCAGGATTCTTCAGGAATTCCTAGCTTGTTGGTAGATGTAAAAATATATAACATGGAGGCACGTGCTTTCTCCTATTGCATCATGATATGAAACTCTTTACCGCAAAGGTAAATCCATTCCCATACCAGACTGAAAAGAATCGAACAGCCACTTTATCGATCACATGGCGAGTTTGGCTAATCCTGGAAACATATAGTTGTTACGTACTGTCCTCTTCCTCAGCGCATATTCGGCACAGATCAGAAAGAGCATATTAAGAGTAAAGTAGCAGATTATAACCTGTAAGCCATAATATCAAGTTATATAACTCTTCCGGAAAGTAAATGATGTTTGCTAATATTCTAGTTCCTACCAATAACAAAATAAATAGTTAAATTCAGTGTTTGATGGATCCCCATGTGGTGATCAGTTTATGGACTTGGTACCTCAGTTTTCAGTTTATGGACTGCAACAATAGCTTCCAAGTCTTTTCCAATCAATAAATGCTTTGTCATCAAACAGTTAACATAGATGTTATTATGGTAATTAACAAAACTAAATTAAACATGGATGATGTAATATTTTAAAGCTCTTGTCCCGGATCCTTATACTCATGATTAATGCCTTAATCAACAAGAGAACCAATAACTTAGCAGAAGAGGAGACTAATTTCTGGAGATCACCAATGATCAATCTCCTCATCACCACCAGCGTCACTACCGTCGCCGCCACCACCATCATCATCACTGTCATTATCGTTGTCTTCGATCATCATCAGATCTTTTACATTTCACCATCATCCTGCTTGTAGCCTTGTATATTATAGGCTTTTGGGAAAGCAATAGAATATTGCATCAAGTTCTTTTAACTTGTTCCTTTTTCTTTCCCGATCCTTCCATGGGCTAATAATTTCTAATTCTACAATTTAAAATTTTAGTAGGATAAGAACATGTCAATTCAAAGAATGAATTAACAAATAATTTCCTGTAAATTAAGAATCTTGTTAGTGTACCTTGACACACACACATATATATATGTGCGCAATTCTGTGCAATGGTGTGAATATATTAAAATCACTTACCAACTTTGCCTACTAAAGCACCAATATCATATACCAAAGGTGAATGTGGAACCAACTTACAGATTCCAAAAGAATAAACTGATGACGTCTACCCATTTTGTTAGAAAGAAAAAACAGTTGACATAATGATCTAGAGAATGTATTTTTCACAATTACTTGTTATCTAAAAATTAATTACAAGTCCTAACAAAAAAAAAAGGTTCTGAGATCATCCATTAAAGCTTTCCAGGAAACGATATACTGTTTAAATGGGAAAACAGGCAAATATATTCCTCGTTAGAATCTGGTTTTCTAGTAAGGGGACAGGTTTTTGTGGAATGTCATGACCGTGTTTGCTTAAGGAAAACTCATGGATGATGTCACAGCTTCCTGGAAGACATTGATAACAATAACGTTCCTTTCAATCCCCATTTCATTAGTCGAAGTTTCGAGGTGAAGATCAGATGATTTCCAGTTTCCAGGGCATTTAAATTCATAGTCCTGCTTTCCTTTAACTAGTCGCACCAAACTTCATTATTTCAGCCTTGGACCTTCGCTATATACGTTAACTTACCGTTTTCAAAATGTTTTGAGTCCATATATAGGGAAAAAATTGGATATAAATATAGTTTTATGATTTCACTGGTCAAGGGCATTTTATAATTATGTATAGTATATTTTACTTTTAATTAAGAGTTTAATATTCTACCAACTCTAATAGCTGACGCTTAAAAGTTATATGTTGAAAGAAGTTTATGTACAATATCATCTTCATCCAGATAAATATAAGGATAAGAAGTTCAGATAAAAAAAATTTTAAAAATTCTAATATTTTACCAACAAACCACAATAAATCAAGAACAAAAACATCGGTCTTTTTCCATATTGTTTGACTTGAGAGTTTGGAACTAAGTGACCAAGTAAATAAGACTCAGCTGGCAATATTAACAAAGTCAAAATCAACTTCAATATTACCTAATGCTAGAAACCTAAAACCTATAATTAGTAGGATTTAGAGGGGCAATCATTCTTTATAAGGCATAAAACATATGCATGTAGTTCCTTTATTTGGCAGCTGTTTAGCAATGGTGGCTGATCAGTTTGTATTGGACTAAAATTCCATCCTACTCTCTTTTCATGTTGCATATATAGAGAGAGTTAGAACTTCCTTTGATAAAGCATGCCAAGTTCTCCACTACTTCTCCTCCTATAAAAAGAATCCCTCCAAGAATTTTTGTCGTCAATTGCCTTACTTTAATTAATTAGTCAATATCTTGGTTGTATCAGTACGTGTAATATACTTATTTAGATACGTTAATTAATGTCTTATTGAAGACCAAAACTACAAAGCTGGATAATGCAAAGGCCGCCCTATCATAAATCAAATTAACATCAATATGACGTGAAAAATTATACATTATATCCATATCAATATCACATGCATGTTAAAACAGCACGAATCTTGAACAATATTAAGAGTTTAACATGTTAATTGAGATCATCTCCTTTCGGAGAGAATAAATCAGTTGTATATATGTCCAACCCATCAAGTAAAACGTTAATAGAGAAGGTCAAAATCACGTTATTGTTAATTAAATATTAAATCTTAATTATTAAAATAAAAAATTTAATATTATATTAATAGATCACAAGATTGTTATTATACTTAAATATATGTATAATTCTCATTATTATTATTATTGTGAAAAAATTATCATTGTGACACGGAATATTTGTTTAATTCATTCTAATATTGTTAGAAATAATTTTGGGGGGGCCGCTCACATGGATAGTCTTTTATCAGATAGGACGTGATAACGAAAGACCGTATCTCAGGATTTCTGGTTGATTAGGTTAAAGTTTCTATCATTGGCCCAAAAAAAAAAATGCAAACAGGAGAGGAAAGCAAATTAAGAATGATTTTTTTCTTGGAGAAGGTTACATCCACGACATGCATCATTCATCATTGAGCATTGGGGTGTCATTTTCTATGATGCGTCGACATGAAAAACAAACAAGGAGTATAGCCATTAGTAAGGTAGGAATCCACGGCGAGAATCCACCAACTTCTTTTTTTCTCGTTGGAATCCAATCATCAAAGCACCATCTTCAATTCTCCCCATGTGTTTTTACATTCATCTTGAACAATTTATTTTATTGGTTCATTTAGTGAAATACCTGTCGAAATAGAAATGAAAAAACTATTTATTCATTAAACTGATTTCATATTCAATACAGTTGTCAAACGAATGGGTTCATCATATTAAGTCTGATGGAGTTATTTTATAGTAGAATTATTTTGAGTTCAAATTGTTTTGAGTTTGATTTATTTTCTGATCAAATTACCTCTAGTTTAAATCAAGTTCGAATTAGAAAAAAATTGATAATTAAAAGTTACATTTTATTACTAGATACAGATTATTAGGGGCTTTGATCAGGTTAATCTTAAGTTTTAATCATTTCAAGTTTGAATTATTTTCAATCTATATAGTTTTGGGTTTAAACTATTCAAGTTTTCAATTATTTTCTATTCAAACTGTTATAGGCTTAAACACTTTAAGGTAAAAATTGTACTCTTCAAATACAGTTTATCTTGTTTGGATTTAAGTAATTTTAAATTCGAATGTTGACTCCTTTATCAATTGAGTTTGAACAAGTTTGGATTCAAAGTTTTTTTAAATGAATTTTCAGGTTCGGATTCATTTCATCACCTTTAATATTCAAATATATTGAGCACCATCATAGGTGATAGCATATCTCTTTTTTATTCATTGACAGATTATGAGTTTACGATTTAAATCTAGAACTTTTATCAACCGACTTCCAACTTATTTATAAACTTATAAATGTATAATAATAATAAAAAAAAAAAAGGGTTTTGCCACACTGCAATGTGGTGCTAACTACTAACAATTAAAGCCAAGAGCTTTCTTTTCTTTTCTTTTTCTTTTTCTTTTGATATTTTGACTTAATTATCAGCAAGTTCTATCACTTTAGTAATGTAGCTTTTTCATTCAATTAAATCATACCAACAACTAGTTATGGTTTTTCAATGGATGAGAAGATCAAATCATACCGTTTATAATTAGTTTTATATTCTTTTATAACTTCATATATTATTATTATTTTAATAAACCGATCATTAGATTCAATAATATAATCATAATTATCATACATGTAGAGTTTCAAATAAATTTGATATTTGTATCATATCGATTGATAATATTATCTTTTTTCATGTATCAATCAAATGTTTAGAATTTTTTAAATTAACTCAACATTTAATGTGTATGATCTATATGAATAATGTATGAAATATAATGATCAGATTAAATAAATATAAACCGTATAAAATTATAAAAATATGTAAAATTAAATTAATTTTACACTGGTATTGTAAGTGAATCTCTCTTCTTTTTAAACATAATAAATTTAAGAATTAAATTGAATTAATATTTTTTATTTCAATATTATGTGTAATTAAATATATTATTTCTTGTTGCATGTTTTCTTTCAACCCAATTTCTTTCCTTTTTAACATTATTAATTGATTATTGAGTGCAGATTAGAAATCGTGTGGATAGATGAATTTTGGTATTGGATTGACATTTTGATGAAAATAGTTAACTATATATTTTAAAGTTTAAACAATGCGAACCATAGACCAAAAAAAAAAAAAAAAAAAAAAGAGACAATTTAAACTTGTAATTTTAATTGTTTGTGTGATTAAAAATATAGTGAGCCCTGAAAATTTTTTTATATTTAAAAACTAAGAATTTGGGTTTATGGTTTTTTTTATTTTGGTTTTCTACAACTATACACCATAAATAGTTTTTTTTTCTTTTTTTATAATTATACATCAAAAAAAATTTTATGATATCAAAAATCAAAGTTGAAGATATGTTACAAGTTGATGAAATGTAACTTTATATAATTTAATTATATTGGAAAAAACCCTAAATATTAACAATATTCTTTTTTGGATCCAATTTGATTCGATTTTAAAAATCAATAACTTGAAATATGAAATAAACCCGTAAATATTGAGTGTCAAACTCAAATTATCATAATTTCGAATGACTCAGAATTCAAAATAATTCAAATCTAAAATAATTTAAATATAAAATAATCAAAATTCAAATAACCCAACTCAAATATGATCTAACAAAAAAAAAATAAACCTAATTTTTTTTCAATCCAAATTAAATGATTGGACTTACCCATTTGTCACTTCTAGTCACAGTCAACTCAATTCTTAATTGTAAATAAAGTGTTAGCTTCATAAACCAAAATATTACATACCGAACAAAAATTATAAGGTGTTATTCTCCATTTTAATTGCAATTTAACGTTTAATATTCTATATAGTACTGCATATAGTGTAAACAAATTTTTTTATAATATAGTGCAAACAGTATTAATTGCATTAATAAAATGTTATATTATTATTATTATTATTATTTAGATAAATAAAGTGTTATTAATTAATTTCACTAATATTGTATATAATCCATATAGTGCAAACAATATTAAAGAACTAACTCAATTTTAATTGCACATAGTGCAAACGATATTAAATGTTAAATTGCTAAAGGCAAGAGTGAATTTTTTATGAAGTGTTAAATATTTTTAATTATAGTAATTAAAGTTTATGGTTTGAGGTTTTGTAATTTTTGTGATTAGGGTTCATTCTTGAAATTCTCAAATATAAAAATTATACATATTAAATGTTAAATTATTTAAAGTAACTTTAGTTATCTCCTTTTTGGCCAACCATATGATTCTTGCTTAAGGTTATGTTTCTTTATAAAATAAAATCATGTAAATCAGCATTGTTCTTAGAAACTTAGAAGAGAAAAAATTAAGAACTAGTTTCATGGTAAAAATTACATTATTAATGAATGTTTGTTTCTTTAAAAAAGCAAAACTAATTATTGGGTTATTAAAATAAATTATGATGGTTTTGTGCTTTTTCCTAGTTGAATATTGGCTTTATATTAAGTTTCTACTTGTCTGAAATTTGCATTATTTGATTTGATGAATAATAATAGTGAAAAATAAAACACCTTTAAAATGATTTTCTCATTATGGTTTTTTTTTTATATATTATAAAGAAGATCACAATTTGAAAATAAAAAAAAAAATTTGTAGGTATTGAAATTTAAATTTTCAAACATGACGAATGCTTAACTCTTATAATTAATTATATAAATCAATTGAGATAGATTTTGAGTTCATTCTTATTATGGGTCTTTGACTCACTACAAGAAAATGAAAGATTAGTGACAGTTTTGTAATAGTGTTTTACTTACAAACGCCGCTAGCTTTTGTGTTTTTATAAAACTTAATGTATTTATTATCAAAATACCACTGAATATTTAAATAGCAGTGTTTTTACTTATAAATGTCACTCAAGACTTGATATTAGTGGCATTTATCAACTAAAACGCCTTGAATAATCTTGTCTTAAAAGTTTGAGTGAATACTGAAGGCGTTTTTGGGCAAAAAAATTTGAATAATCCAATTAAAAAAATGGATAGGGGATTACTAAAAGCTTTTTTGGTAGACAATATCTTGAATAATCCTCTCATAAAAAATGTATGCGATTATTGAAGGTATTTTTTGTAAAAAATATCTTTAATAATTCCACGAAAACACCTTCAATAAATATTCTATCAAAATTTAAGGATCATACGGTTATTAACCATAAGATGGTAAGTTAGATCCTTCTCTTTAGCTTTTTTTGGATTTTTTAAGGCATTATTTGTAATGGATTATTCTAGGTATTTTCTTGACAAAAATGCATTCACCAATCGATTTAAAAAATTTTGGAGATGAAATATTGAAGGCGTTTTCGACAGAAAAATGCCTTTAATAATCCATAGAAAAAATATGAAATGGATTCTTGAAGGTATTTTTGGCCGAAAGCGCTTTTAATAATCCAATCAATAATTTTTCGTGTGAAGGCATTTTTAGCAAGAAAATGCTTTGAA